GGATTTAAAATAAACCAGTAATGGGGACAATTGTGGATAAATCAGTATTCAAAATGGCGGTTTATGTTTTTTACTATTTTTAGTTAGTGTCAGTTTAGATTTTTGATTGTGTTTAATTAAACCTTTTTTAAGTATTTTTTTGTTAATAACTTAATATTTTATAATAATATAAGTGTTTTTTAAACTTAAAAGCTGCCAAATTGATGGTTTATCCCATTCTTGGCGAATTTTTTAAGGTGAAAACAGAAATTTAAATCCGGCCGGATTTTCTCCAAATCCGGCCGGATACCGGATGCCGGAAAATTTGTTAAATCCGGCCGGAATTCCGGCCGGATTTGAAATCCGGTGCACCCCTAATATACTGTACTGCATACACTGTATTAACTGCACAAAAGAATTTACAACAGTACATTTTGTTATAACTTCACGATAAAAATTCAGCAACTGGCAGTATAGTGCTCATCTTCAGTAGGCAAGGAAACTTACGAAAAAAATACAACTAATACACGATTTCTCATTATGGCAAAACCTGCCCTAATAACAGGTCATGTTATGCATATTTTTAATTATTTAAGTTACTCATGCAATCCTTTAGTAAGTACACGTTTATTAGCATAGCATGACCAGTTGCAAATTCATATGCCGCAATTTTCTCTATTATACTGTAGAGCTGTGTAATATTTTCGGGAAATAATACAATACTGGACCAAACCTTTGCATTCTTCTGCTTTGGTTTTGGCTTACTGAGCATTTTCTGCTTCCTTGTTTGTGCTGCCTTTTTAGCGCCAAATGGTCTCTTTTGTTGTAGCATAAGTTGAATAACCTCTTCTGCAGGCAGGAAATGTCCTGCACATTCTCCATCACATGATGAGCATTTTTCAGCTCCAAACGGTCGTTTTGGATCTGGTACCGGCAGAGGGATACATTCAATAGAAGGTCCGCCATTATACCACAAGATTTTGTTCTCTGGTCTTCCAACTTGACATAGAGGATGAGGACAATTTTTCTCATAACAACAGAATAGCTGAAAAATGTACCTTTGGGGAACAGATTTGTTTATGTGTGAGTTTCTAATGTCCCATAAGCCCATCAAAAATTGCTCACGAAAGAAATATAAGGGTTTATAGTCGGAGGTTTACAGTATTCCGTTTAATATCTGCCCCCTTTCAAGACAAGGGTTTTACTATAACCCCTAAAAGAACTCTTGCCCTAATAGCTGAGATCCCCTATAGAAATCCTGTTAATTAACATTCACCCCCTGAGAAAATCAGAATTCACCCAGGCTGAGGAATTTCAGTTTTACATTGACCCCTCATTAAAAATACCCATGAAGAATTCCACAGTTGAATTTGCTACCTCTAGTTGATGAATTCTAGGGCTAAAATCACCTTACCACTAGCATCAAATTGAATTCAACTTCAAAGGTCAAGTGAGATTTAACAATTGCCTGATTTAACAAGTGCTCACTTGAATTAATGGACAATCTATTTTGAACTAATAACCATCCGTTCTGCAGAACACCTTCATAGTATTATTATATGTTTTGCTTGCAGCCATTTTGGGCAATTTTGCCTTCACTAAACTTACCAAAAGCAAATAAAATAGAACGTTTAAATACAGCCTATATAAATTTGGTTTTATAATCACTTTGAAAGCATGCACATATATTAATATATTATAGAGCAAATATATAGTAGAAAAGAAATTAAAATAAAAACACTCACCTTTGAATATTACTGCAACTTCGTGCAAATCGCTATCCTCCAAAAATGAAAACACATCTTCCACAGAAAGGTTCTCCATAGCGGCGAATTTTTAACTTTTTATTAAACTTCTTTACAGTAAAAATGTAATACATTGTACTGTATGCTGTTTTATATACTTTGACTTCCGGTTTCGCGCGTTTGTCAATTGCCCGACTCTCGGGTTGCATTTTTCTGTCAAACGCCCGTCGCTCGGGAACGAATTTGTTGTCAAATCCCCCAGGGATGCCAGCCCTCCCAGGGGTGGTGGAAACAAATGATAGGTGCATAAACAGGGCCTGAGATACATAATATTTACTTGAACTGTTTAATAAGGGGTTAAGGGACCGGTCATTATTTATGGAAGGGGAGGGGAATTTTTTCTTTCCTAATTTTTTAAAATTGAAAGCCCCCCCTTAAAAGAGCAGAAATTTATTGATGACCCCCCCTACATATTAGAATATTTTTCTTTGACCCCCCCATTTTCATTTTACTCGACAAATGGGGATACCCAGGCGTTATAATGTTAATTATTAATTAAATAAGAATATGGAGCTGACAAGATATTAACGTTGACCAAAAATATATATTAGCAGAATCGAAAATTATAAATAAAAGAGGGGTATTTTCATATATAACTCTAAAATCGGGTTTCCATTTGGTCTGGGCGATTGTAACCATGTTTAACGGCAGAGAATTAATATTTAATAGTGAATAGTGTAATAATAATTAATAGTGTTTGGTGGCAGGTGCCGTTTGTGGTCCAAGGCTGTAACTAGATTTGATGGCACAAAGTCAAAGTATTGCCATAGTAGCTGCGTAGCAATGAGAGTAACAATCAGTAATATTAGCAGCAAAAGGAGATAGCCATGACAATTCTGGCTATTCTGCCAAGGCATATACCTCCGGCACCAGTCACACTGACAAGTCAGTGGAAACAAAATATAATGTATAGTGGTCTATACATCCTATTTTTAGTGAGATTAAAAATTATATAAAATAAAATGACATACTACCAGATAAAATCCTCTAGAATAAACATGGGTGGGTGGGGTGGGTAGGGGAAAGGTATCTAAGCGCTAAACTTGCTGTAGCTAGGCAAAGCATACAATGGCAGTATGAATACCCAGCCGAAGCACCGATCACAAGGTGCGAAACAACCCCCTTTAAACGATATGACGTCACAGACTCCCATCAGTGGATGTGGCCTGCATTATACATTCGCCGTTAACCTTGCTTAAATGTATTTGACCACATCAAGATAGCTGATGTAATAATACATTGTCAATTTATCTCTTCAATCAGTAAAGACTGATTTGCATACAGCACACAGAAGACAAGATAAATCCAGACTATTTCACATCTACGTGAATCTACGTGACGCGCTTGGCGCGCGAGCAGCGAGTCAAATCGCTCCGTAAAATTACTAAATTTCGACCCTATTTCTACGACTTTTTGGGTTAAATTTATAAAAGAATTGTGGATAAAGTGACTATCTTTGGGAAAGTGAAGTTGGTGTGGTAAAATTTTAAGTATTGCTCTGTATTTTGTTGAATTATTTTTCAAATTGCAAGAGAATTTACAACTGGTTTATAAGCACGCGCAAGCCGGACGGTTGAATTTGGCGTGCGCATACGACTACGTGATAAGTTTGCGCGCGTGATTCAAAGGACGATCTTACGAACTGTGTTCGACTCGAGCGCGTGCGGAATTACGGTCATCTATTAGAACAATTATATGAATAACTAGTGACTTAATTATAACTTTTCGGAAAATACGAATTAAAATGCTTAAAACCCACCAAACTTTCGCCAAATCAGCATCATTGTGGACTGTGTGTCTCGTGGTGTCCTTCTGGCTGTCAACAAGATCTAAACCTGATGTGAACATTATCGAAAATTCAACTGGAAAAGGCATTCTTATTTCCCCGGAACTTGCCATCTTACCGGACAAACTGTGCTTTATCTGGGCTTCTACGCGTGATAGAAAGTTACGAAAGTTTGCTCTTCCCGACAAACATCGTTACGGACTGGAGTTTCACATTTCTCGCAAATGTTCTCACGTTGTGCTACTTATTCTCCTTGCTGGCGACATAGCAACCAACCCAGGTCCTACAACTGGTTCACGTGAAACAGACAATTCAAAAACTAGTCCCGGGTTAAAAGTTCTGTATTTAAATGCCAGAAGTCTAAAAGCATTTGTTCATCCAATTGGGGACAAATCGGTAAAAGTTTGTAAAATCTCGTTATTGCAACAACTGACATATGGTGGTAATTACGACGTTGTATGTGTGTGTGAGACCTGGTTAAACAATTTAATCTTAAGCAGTGAGATCTTGCCTAATTATGGATCTATCTTCCGATGTGACAGAGCTGACAGAATTGGTGGTGGTGTTCTTGTTGCTGTGAAGACTGGTATACAAGTCACACGCAGACATGATCTAGAACCTGATAATACGGAACTTGTTGTTACTGAGTTAATGAAATCTAACAACAAACCAATTATACTTTACACGTTTTATCGTCCCCCCGACTCTAAACCCGATGTCCTTCAGCAGCTAAATTATTCTATCCAAAACAACCCAGAATCAAGTCGTATTGTGTTGATAGGCGATTTTAATCTACCATCAGTTAAATGGTCGTCTGATCAGAAAACCCCCATCAACATCGGAGGACCTGCTGAGAATGAAATCTTTTGCGATTTGGTAGACGACAACTTCCTTCTGCAATACATACTTGGCCCTACCCATACTGCTGGTAATAAACTCGATCTGTTGGTGTGTAACTCTCCTGAAATCGTCGGCGACGTCTCCGTTCTCCATCCCGAGACCTGTGGTTTCCCAACAGATCACTACATCGTGGAATTTGACGTGAAGTTGAAGTTTAAACGAGCCAAGCCAATAAAGCGCCGAGTATTCGACTATGGAAAAGGATATTTCGATGAGCTACGTAACTTCCTGACACGATATCCCATCAATGTTACCCCAACTGATAGCATTAATGATGACTGGGAACAATGGAAGGACACATTCTTAACTGCTGTGAGAAGGTACATTCCGATGAGAACTGTCAAAGACAAAAATAGTCCACCATGGATCGATAAAGAAGTGCGTCAACTAATCCGTAAGAAGTACAAAGTTCTAAAACAATACCGCAGGAACAAATCTGCTGATCGAAAGCGTAAATTACGAAGCGTTACTCAACAAATCAAATACTTGATTCGAAGTAAACACCGAGGCTATCTGGCTAAAATAAAAAGTTCGTTCTGTGACAACCCCAAACTATTCTGGAGTTACCATAAATCAATTCTTTACCACCGGACAGGTCAGAGCAACGAAATAACATATAATGGTTTCACAGCCAAGACGGCGAAAGAAAAAGCGGATCTTTTTAACACTTACTTTTCTTCAGTGTTTCATCCATCTTCTACCACTTGTAACCAGACGCCTCGAACGGAAAGCAAAGAGAACATCTCGGAGATAACAATCGATGTAGACGAAGTTGCGCAATTTTTGTGTGCCCTTGATACCTCGAAAGCATGTGGCCCCGACGGCATTCCAGCTCGCCTGTTACAAGTATGCGCCCTTGAAATCGCACCAAGCATATGTGAGTTGTTTAACCGTTCCTTGCATACTGGTCATGTTCCATCTGAGTGGAAATCTGCGAATGTTACACCCGTCCACAAAAAATATCTTAAAGAACCGGCGGAACATTACAGACCAATATCGTTGCTGCCATCGTTGGCAAAGTACTAGAGCGTTGCGTGTGCATCAGACTATATAATCATGTCAGGCACCTCGTCACAAAAGCACAACATAGCTTCCTTAGACGGCGATCTTGCGTTAGTCAACTACTATCGGTACTACACGCCATCGGGCAATCCCTTGACAAAAACGTTCAAACTGACGTTATCTACCTCGACTTTGCGAAAGCTTTTGACTCTGTCGATCACCAAATTCTCCTCCACACGCTTGCGTCATACGGTGTGTCAGGTCATTTATATGAATGGTTCGCGGACTATCTCAGTGGTCGTCGTCAAAGGGTTGTGATTGATGGAGCTACATCTAATTGGGTGCCAGTTACATCTGGAGTGCCGCAAGGCAGTCTCCTGGGTCCTATTCTGTTTGTGATATTCATAAACGATCTTCCCGACATATTACCTGACGAGACGTTGGCAGCTTTGTATGCAGACGACACCAAACTGTACAAGTCCATCACATCAGTAGGTGACTGTGAAAGTTTGCAACAAGCTTTAACAGACCTTGACTGCTGGAGCCGTGACAACAACCTCAATTTTAACGAGTCGAAGTGTAAGGTGTTGACAATTACAAGGAAAAAAACCCCGCTGACGTACGCATATCCCATGGGCTCAAAGGAACTTACTCGTGTGAATAAGGAAAAAGATCTTGGTGTCTTCATAAATTACAACCTCTCATGGGACGATCATGTTCATATCATCACCGCCAAAGGGAACAAGATGCTTGGCATGCTGAAAAGAACTTGCCCTCTACTGACTAACACCGCAGTGAGGCGGACGCTGTATTTGTCACTCGTGAAGTCCCAGATAAGTTACGCCACCGAAGTCTGGTCTTCTCCTACCATCAAAATGAGATCCACAGTGGAACGTGTACAAAGGAGAGCCACCTCTTGGATACTGCAAGCCAAGCGCGGAGAAATTGCATATAAGCAGCGGCTGATAACCCTTGGCTTATTACCCCTGTGCTACGAGAGAGAAATAAAAGACTTAGTGTTCTTTTTTAAGGCACTGTATGGACATATTGATCTTGACGTGCATAGTTTCGTTTCATTTGTCAACAATGGCCGAACACGACTTAGTCGAAATCCTTCTCTCACACTCAAAATCCCTTTCTGTAAATCCAAAACATTTCAATCCTCATATTTCAACCGGCTTGTCAAGTTATGGAACCACGTCTGCAAAATTCTTCCCTCTACCACCTTTGCCAGCCTCTCCATCTTCAAAAGATCTCTTAAAGCCACTTACGCTAACTTGCTTACGGCAACATTTGACGTGGACATGCCATGCACCTGGACACTCCCAGGTTGACAATCTTGCCAAGATCCCAACAAGATCTTGACAAGATCTTACCCAAGATCTTACCAAGATCATGCCAAGATCTTACATAAATCCTGCAAGATCATGGAAAGATCTTGCATGATCTTGCAAGATCTTTCCAAGTTCTTGCAGGATCTTACCTAAGATCTTGCAGGATCTTGCAAGATCTTGCCATGATCATGACAAGATCTTGCCATGATAATGGCAAGATCTTGCAAGATCCTGCAAGATCTTAGGTAAGATCCTGCAAGAACTTGGAAAGATCTTGCAAGATCATGCAAGATCTTTCCATGATCTTGCAGGATTTATGTAAGATCTTGGCATGATCTTGGTACAAATCCTGCAAGATCTTGCCATGATAATGGCAAGATCTTGCAAGATCTTAGGTAAGATCCTGCAAGAACATGGAAAGATCTTGCAAGATCCTGCAAGATCTTAGGTAAGATCCTGCAAGAACTTGGAAAGATCTTGCAAGATCTTTCCATGATCTTGCAGGATTTATGTAACATCTTGGCATGATCTTGGTACAAATCCTGCAAGATCTTGCCATGATTCTCCAAGATCTTACCACAAATCCTGCAAGATCTTGCCATGATCCTCCAAGATCTTACCAAAATCCAGCAAGATCTTGCCATGATCTTGCCAAAAATCCTGCGAGATCTTGCCATGATCCTCCAAGATCTTACCGAAATCCAGCAAGATCTTGCCATGATCCTCCAAGATCTTGCCATGATCCTCCAAGATCTTACCAAAAATCCTGCGAGATCTTGCCATGATCCTTCAATATCTTACCAAAATCCAGCCAGATCTTGCCATGACCCTACAAGATTTTACCAAGTTCGTGGCAAGAATACATGGCAAATACAGAATGAAGAGGCTCTACATGAAATATACTATACTCTGGATATAACTTTGATTGAATTTATCAAACTAACGTAAAAGTGTACAATATTGCCATGAATTCAGTGTCGGTCTTTATTAAATTGTAATCAATTAGTTCATCCAAATTATAATACTCAAGCTTTTACCCGGTTTAGTTTGCATAGTAAATGTAGTAAATTAGACCAATAATGTTGGTAAAATATTATCAATATCTATGGCGATTGAAATAAAGTCCGAATGAAAGTTCCACCTTGCTCAATATTTGAGAGAAAACAAAGGGAATCTTGTCTGTTCTTAATAATGTTGTTCTAAAGAATTGAGTTTCAAGATGGAACTTTTATTCGGACGTTGTTTCATACTTTACTTCATGAATTATATTAGCATTGACACCATTGTTATTGCAAGTTCTTCGATTTTGTTTTTCTTCGCATATCGCGGCACTTTTGAATTTTGATTGCACGCATCCACGATAATTTGGCGTGTTTACTGTTTACTGTTTTCTGTACTTTTTCTTCGCCATACTTGGCGTTGAGGACAGCTATATCGTAAAAAAAGACTGTGTTAAAGTAAGTCTATTTTTTGTATTTAAGTTCATTTCAATGTTTACCCAAAACACATTGCCATTGGCAAAGAAAACTATAGTACTTTTAATTAACACATACTGTGGCAACTTAGTCTTAAGTTTGTATATATCTGTTCACAGCTGGCCAGTTAATTTTTCTTGAAGTCAAATCACATATATTATTCTTACCAAACAATTTAGTGACCCTGTTGGGATCTAGTGCTGGTATTCCATCCTGGAGCTCTTCCGATGAAAATAGGAAGTCCAATAATGAATTAACAATACTTGATATTAAATCACTGTAGTTGAATTCTTTTTAAGTAAAACGATAAATTACACATGTATACACTCATACTTACTATCTCGATCTCTGTAGTTTCTTTTTTGGCCATAGCTTTATCATTTGGGGATGCCTTCACCATGCATGTTTTCCTAAATAATATTTGAAATAACAAATTTTGAATAATACACATGTTGAATAATCATAGCTCAAACCATTAATTTTATATGAAAGATCTCTATATTTTATCCTAGCTTCACTGGTTGGCATAATGAAACTTAACTCACTAATGAAGCTCACATTTATACCGTAGTGTGAAATTGCGTGTTCCTATGCGGTGCATTTACGATGTTTGCGCACCGGACCTGTCATCACTACAGTTATCAGGACATTTCAGTAGCGCAAAAGCTGTGTAATAAATATAAGACTGTGTGAATATAATAATTTGTGGTCCCAGGGGTATTCTCAACGGCTTTGTCATTCTTAACAAAACGTTAAACTAGGCATTATCACGTTTTTAAAGCAACGTAAAAGCTTATTGCGACCAATGAAGAGGTGTTATTAAAATTATTTAAAGTCGAAATTACAGCAAGCATTACATCGCTTTAGCCGATTAACTTAGCCATTTGTAAGGTTATTTGAAAAAGCTTGAAACATTTATTACATGTGGTAATCAAACTGCTTAGCGCTCATTCATTCAATATACAAATATTGTGTTACAAAATAGGTTGTAAGCACTTACTTTTTATTTAAGACAGCTCGACAAGTTATCCTTTCTTCTTTAGTGCAGCAACAAAGTCGAGGAACAGAAGTATAAACTGCCGTGTACCTTGTATGTTTGACTTATAAAACGCGCCTTGGGGCTTTTACCAACGGTTGTCTACCACAAATATGCGAAAAATGCGCAGATAACAAGATTTACAGATATTGATTAATTGATCTCATTTCAGTCATTTGGATCTGGCACGCAAAGGTGCGAGAGCGACTGTGCGCGTAAAAGCCTCCTTTCACAAGGATCTTTCAAAATCATGGCATTTTTGGTATGATCATGGTAAAATCATGACAAGAGATTGTGTCAAGAACTTCCAAGATCAAGATAGATAAGATCTTGGCAAGATCATGCTGGGATCATGGTGAGATCTTGACAAGTTCTTCCAAGACCATGGCAATATTATAATAGAATCTTGGCAAGATTGTGATAAGATCTTAGCAAGGATCATGATGGGATCTTGAAAAGATCCTCCAAGATCATGGCAAGATTACAATAGGATCTTGGCAAGATTTTGGTAAGATATTGGCAAGATCATGCTGAGATCTTGGCAAGATCATGGTGAGATCTTGTCAAGATCTTCCAAGACCATGGCAAGATTATAATAGAATCTTGGCAAGATTGTGATAAGATCTTAGCAAGGATCATGAAGGGATCTTGACAAGATCCTCCGAGATCATGGCAAGATTACAATAGGATCTTGGCAAGATTTTGGTAAGATATTGGCAAGATCATGCTGAGATCTTGGCAAGATCATGGTGAGATCTTGTCAAGATTTTCAAGACCATGGCAACATTATGGTAGGATCTTGGCAAGATTTTTGATAAGATCTTGGCAAGATCATGGTGGAATCTTGGCAAGATTGTCCAAGATCATGGCAAGATTATGATAGAATCTTGGCAAGATTGTGATAAGATCTTAGAAAGGATCATGGTAGGATCTTGGTAAGATCATGGTGGAGTCTTGCCAAGATCCTCCAAGATTACAATAGGATCTTGACAAGATTTTGATATGATCTTGGTAAGATCATGGTGGAATCTTGCCAAGATTGTGCAAGATCATGGCAAGATTATGATAGAATCTTGGCAAGATTGTGATAAGATTTTAGCAAGGACCATGGTGGGATCTTGGCAAGATCATCGTGGGATCTTGACAAGATCTTCCAAGATCATGGCAAGATCATGATAGGATATTGACAAGATTTTGACAAGATCTTGGCAAGATCATGGTGGAATCTTGGCAAGGTTGTCCAAGATCATGGCAAGATTATGATAGAATCTTGGCAAGATTGTGATAAGATCTTAGCAAGAATCATGGTGGGATCATGGCAAGATCATGGTGGGATCTTGCCAAGATCCTCCAAGATCATGGCAAGATTACAATAGGATCTTGGCAAGATTTTGATATGATCTTGGTAAGATCATGGTGGAATCTTGCCAAGATTGTGCAAGATCATGGCAAGATTATGATAGAATCTTGGCAAAATTGTGATACGATCTTGGCAAGGACCATGGTGGGATCTTGGCAAGATCATGGTGGGATCTTGACAAGATCTTCCAAGATCATGGCAAGATCATGATAGAGTATTGGCAATGTTGTGATATATGCGATTGGTTTGATCAAGGTTCATTATACCTATACTTATGAAGGTCGAAAAATACAACTCAGCAAGAATTATGTATGACGAAAAATCATGAAAGATCTTGGCAAGATCTTGACAAGAATTTCAGACAATCTTGGCAAGATTTTGGCAAGTATGGCAAGATTGAATAATCTTGGCAAGATATTGGTAATATCTTGGCAAGATCTTGCCAAGATTAGTGTCTTGCCAAGACCTTGCCATGATCTTCCAAGATCATGCAAGATCTTACAAGATCTTGCCAAGATCTTCAACCTGGGAGGGCCTTCACAGAGCTCCTCCATCTCTCTCTATCCGCCGCTCTCGTCCCATGAGCCCCAGCCTCCCTCTCCTTTTTTTCCACCGTCCTCCATGTGGTTTTTGGTCTAATCCCCTTCTTCTGATATGCTCTTGCCATCGGACACGGAGGATTCTTCGTTGGCATCTACTCTGGAATAGATCCACTGATTTGTCATCTCCTTTGTTCATTTTCCAAGTCTCGCATCCATACAGCAAGACGGGTAGAAACAGGGTCTTGTAGAGTCTAAGTTTGGTTACCCTCGAGATGTTGTTTGAGTTCCAAATTCTCTTAAGTCTAATAAATGCGCCTCTTGCTTTCGAAAGCTGTTCTTTAGATCTTCGATGCCTCCACCTTCTTGACAAACCTTTGCTCCTAGGTATGTAAATTCTTGAACTTCTTCAACGTCCTGCCCATCGATGGTAATCTTTGGGTTGGTAATATTACTTTGGGTAATCCAGGTTGATCCTAAGTCCGACCCGTTTTGCTGCTTGAAGTTGATTCATTCTGGAGGTCTTATCTTGAATGTGCATGACTGTTGTCTTGTAGAAGATAATAATGCTACATCGTCAGCAAAATCTAAGTCGTCTAGTGTTGAGGTTAGCTTCCATCTTATACCATTCTCTCCTTCACCAACTGTCCTCCTCATTATCCAGTCCATTACGATTAGAAATAGGAATCCTGACATATTACAGCCTTGTTTAACCCCAGTCTTGATCTCAAACCATTCTCCTTGGTCTTCTATGTACAGCAAATTTAAAACCTTCATAGAATAACTTTACTGTCCTCACGATCTTCTCTGGGATTCCGTACTTTTGCATGATCACCCATAAGCGTTCACGGTGTATCGAATCAAACGCTTTTTCCAAGTCAGTCAGGTACAGTACCTGGTTAATTACTGTAGAAACATATATTAAATATATCTATTATTGTTATTGTATCTTTGCAATATCTCGGAACTTAACTGTACAATACAGGCCAAAAAACATTTGAATGGACAATATAATACAGTATATACCAAATCTTAACAGCGAGTAGTACAGTACATCATTGCTGTTTAACTTTTCACCAATCTTAATTCAAAAGAGATACAAATTATTGCAGCATTGTAGTAAGTTCCCAGTATTAATGATCTTCTACCTTTAGTTTGGCATTGTGTCTTTATATACACTCACTATATTTTAGAGCTGCTCCCATCGGTTAATTTTCGTAATCGATTAATCGTTGTCAACAATCGATTAATATCGATTAATCGTATTGATAATTAAATAAATTTAAATATGACATGCCCATGGTGCAGGTTTGTAAGTGTTGACTAAATTTTTGGAAGTTGCACAGAAACATGTCAATTTCATTGCTCAAATATGGCACTTGGTGTGGCCAAACTAACGTTTTAAAACGTGAAACAAGGTTTTAAAATCCGCACGCCGCAACGTTGGACGCAAATGCTAATAAATTCTTCTAATAAAAAAATTTAAAGATATTTTCGCAGAACTGGTAAACCCGATCAGACTAAGGTAAACTTTGCACGCTGAGAGTGAATTTTATATTTGACGGACAAAGTTTTGAATAATGTTTGTCATTTAAATTAATCACAATCTTGTCGCAACCAGGAAAGAAATTAAATAATTCCCGCATCAGGCGTTATATATGTGCATGGTGTTATATATATGGCATTATATATATGGTGTTATAGATGATCCGATTATCCAATTGCTGTTTAGCTTAATCGATTGTGGAAAAATAATCGATTAATCGATTAATTGGGAGCAGCTCTACTATATTTGAGTCAAACTCTTGTTTGTGAGTAACGAGCAAGTCAGATTTAATAGCTTGAAACACACCTGCTCCTCGTGTACCGGATGATCTATCTTTCCTAAACACTGTGAAGTGTGGAGGGAAAATCCCCCCATTCTTTATACCGGGAGTAAGTCAAGACTCAGTTCCCATGATCACATATTCTTGGGTTGTACTTGTCAATCATGTGTTCAAAATCTGCTTGTTTGGACTTTACACTTCGACAATTAACCGACATGCAATGTAGCACAGGTTTTGTTTTAATCCTCGGATTTCCTGGGGGTGTAATAGTTGGTGATTCGTCCAGCTTTGAGGGTTGCACTACTGTCACAGTAGGTGGTAATTCTGAGAGTGGTTGGTATGAGTTGGACAGTTTCCAATGAGGATGAGGAGACGTCGAGTAAACTGCTGCAATAGTTGGGAACATCACATTCCTGACATATCCATGTACAAGATGAATTGGCGAGGTTCATATTGAGTGGGACTTGTATCTAAACACTTTGCATGTTGCAATAGATCATACGAGTTGGTTGGATTTTACCGGTTTTTTGCATGCGCCACAAGGATAACTCCAATTGGGACCGGGTCCCACAGTGATATCTCCATATAATAAAAGTATAGGCTAAACAGAATAGAAAAAAGAAACCTTTGAGCTAATAAAACATTTGTTCTCTTCCTGAAATTTCTCATCATGCCACAAATTAATATAACATAATACAGACAGTAGTCACAATGGTATGGCAAATATCTATAAATAGATATAAAGTCACCAATCAATTTACAAAATATATCTACTTCATATGAGTATTAAAGACAGAATTAATATTATATCTATTATCTAAAACAATTCGAAATTCATTCTCTTGGATATCGTGTAAAATGGCTTGAAATATTTAACTGAAAAATGCCGAATATTTGTTATATACACAAACGCCTTCTTGTTTTTCTCCAAGTGTTTATAACAAGAGGAAACTGAAGGAATCTTTTCTATTATCTTCACACAGTTATTAAGTAATCACAGTTGCCTAGTATATACGTCAACGGAATCATGCAAATGGGGACAATTAAGATTGATGGTTACGGCAGAACGCAAACTTCAAAATTAATCACATTTGAAAGTAAAGGCCGTTTTCCACCTCAACCGTATCTTACCGAGGCGTAGCGTATTTCTTTGTTTCCTTAGCGCTAGAGAGGAACGGCCTTCAGGCATATATTCAACATATGGTAGGCAGAAATTGTGTACGCATATACTGTATCACTTGTGCAAAGAGAATCAAGCATGTTGTTCAGTCGTATAGCTATACAAATTGCTCTCTTTCTCGAAAGAAAATAATCGTTTGGTTTAGGCATCGGCAATGCGTGCATTAAATTTTAGGCTGTTTCTGTTCAACATGTTAGCAATTTTACTCTCACTGTCACCTTGTGTTACCTACCTTACCCAAGAAAGCGAAATAACAGGCGAAACAATGAAGTTTGCAGTAAACCAGCTTTGATTTTTGGTAGGATCTGCAAACAGAACTGCGTTCACTTGGTTACTTTTGCAGTGAAGATGGTGACTGCAGTTCACAGGAATACTGCATGCATTTTAAGTAAGATGCGCTCCTCGAGTCCGTTCAACATACTGACCAACATTGCGCTTGAGAAGACTTGTAGACACTAGGAAAACTGTCCAGATATGTACCCAAATGCTTGCTGTTGGTAAATGCACACACGATTCAGCATGCATGCGCTACTGGAAAATATTGTTCTAAAAATATTGGCCAGATGAAATAGAAAAAGAATGCAAGTCGAGTTGTGTTGGAGATTTTTGTTTTGAAAACAGTAACTGTCGTTTAAATTAACATTGTAACGGCCGGCTCCCTTAACTAGTCACCAAATCAACTGCTCATGATAGGTATACCCCAATCCTTGCTGTTGGTAAATGCACCCAAGATTCAACATCGCTACTGGAAAATATTGTTGTATCGTGGATTGGTCACTCAGGTGAAATAGAGAAAGAATGCAAGTCGAATTGTGTTGGAGATCTTTGTTATGAAAACAGTGACTGTCGTTTAAATGAATCCTGCAATTCTAGGCTTCAATGTGCATGCTGTTACTGTATTTCATACGTTTCATAATGAAATCGCGTGCGTTCGGTCAGTCAGTCAACGCTCCAACGAGCATCCCACATGGAATGTTGACAGAGTTCTGTTGGTTGGGATTAGCCCCCTAAAGCCTGCAGCACACGAGAGCTATCTGCTGAGCAAAAAGTTACTCGTGCCTGTTAGCTCAGCCGATAGCTCACCGATCAAACATGTTTGATACGTGAGAAAAGGTTGCATGAGGCAAAAAACTCAGTAAAATGTACGCGCACACGGTGAGCTATCGGCTGAGCTAACAGGCACGAGTAACTTTTTGCTCAGCAGATAGCTCTCGTGTGCTGCAGGCTTAACTGATCCTTCCACCGTACTGTATCTGTGCTCCATGATCAGACATGAGTCATAAAGTGGCTGCCAGAGGCACGCTTAGAAAGCCTTAGACTCGATCAGATAGAACTGCGTCCTTCGCAAGTCAGCTTACAGTAGCTCTCAGCAGAAAGTAAGTATATGATTAGCACACTCCCACTTATTAATCCCCACTTAATTTCTGTGCAGGATCCAGAGAAAGATCAAACCCTGGACGAACTCAATGTTGTCGCAGAACACTTGATTGATGTTAAGAAAACAGATTGTGATGAATACCTGATAAATGTAAATTTTACCCCTACTGTTCCACATTGTTCCCTAGCAACACTTATTGGTAAGCATCATTTACTTTAAATCAGGCAGGAACTTAGATAACACTATTTCGGAAACATCTGAAAATCTTCGTGTTTCCTTTCAAATCTGCGCAGACGCCCTTATTCCAAAGATATAAAGCGGGGGTCTATAGCACGTCTGCGTGCTACTACTATTGCAACCAACTACACTTACTATTGCAAAAATGCATACAAAAATGGATACAAGTTTAACTAATAACTACTATTGCAAAAATGGATACAAATTTTGCTTTAGCGCTTGTCCAGGCTCCCATTGCATAATGTGAAACAAACGAGAAACATGCCTAACGGTCACATGAACATCATGGGAACAGGTCTCCGTAGCCTCTTGAGCGTTGACTTTGCACTATCCTTTGGATCTATCAACTCACATACAATTTTGCGTCAATGGTTCACTATATTAATTTTAAACGACCATTACATGTATATTGTTTTTATAGGTTTATGCATTCGAGTGAAGTTAAACACAACACTATCTTGGAAACATAAGGTAAATCTATTTTAAATTCCATAAATTTATTAATTTGAAATAATCTTGCAAATAAGTGGCCTGCTCACAGACGTTGTAGTTCTTACGCCAAGCGACGAAATACTACCTTCTGCTTACCCGAGCTGCATATTCAATTCCCTTTGTTTTAGGAGCCAATCATCTGACAGTGTTCAAAAAAGTTAGAGCCAATTGGAAGCCGCCTTATTGAGAGATTATTAGCTACTGGGGAAAGCCCTTGCACATGCATTGAAATGTATTGTTTGGGTTGAAACTTGAAATTTGTTTACTTGTGTGGATATATTTTGGAAACTATAGCGTTGAACTTCACGATGTTTACGTAGAATAATATTGTGGTCACCTTCTCGCATGTTCAGCAAACAATCAGTGTCTATAAAGTGCTAAAGCCATTAATGCAGTAGGCGAATTTAAAATTTTGTTAACAATTGACAAACAATCAATCGGGAAACTCGAGTATATCAGGATATGTCCAAATGTTGCTCTTCATACTTCCTATATGCCATGACTTCGACGAAAACTTCTAAAAGATTAAGCTCTCATTGTCATGTAGAAAGGTATAGCCAAGTTAGAGTATAAACGTTTCGAAGTTTGGACGAATTGGAAAATTCATCACGGCGCAATTTTAATACTAGTTTCTCGGGTTTGTGTTGTGTTTACATACATTCAGAAGTGGTTGCTCAAACAGCAAATTAGTTTACTTTGAAGCTAATATTTCGCTTTCTAAGCCACAGTATTATATAAAATTTTCTGTCTTCCGAGTTCTGTTGTCTTATAAAGATAAACCGTTAAAATGTCAGCGAAATATATTCGGCATTTGATGCTGTCTGGCTAAGATTCCTGCAGTATAAATATGCGAATCCTGTTCGCGTTTTAAGTATAACCGAACATCTTTAATCTCCAAATCTGATCATTAATGGTGCATTTTATTACCTGGACAAGTATCAGTAACTTTAAATTCAATTTATGTGCAATTTTGACCAAAATTCAACCGACTACTGCTTTCAAAATATATATTATACACTTAATGTGTGCTCGCGAGGGAAATAGTTAGTTTTGTTTTCCCGAGAGACTCAATGTTTCCCGAGACGAAGTCGAGGGAAACATTGAGTTTCGAGGGAAAACAAAACTAACTATTTCCCGAGAGAACAGACATTAAGTGTTTTGTTATATAGCGACGAAATAAAAAAATATATATATTCATACAACAATTGTATTTTGTGATAAAAACAATACAAAGTAAGCGATATTAAAATTTAAAAACTTGCCTAAAGTATTTCCACAGCATTTCCTGTTGC